AGCGGGTACCCCAGCTGGAGGGCGTGAGTCGGGAGCGGGTACCCCAGCTGGAGGGCGTGAGTCGGGAGCGGGTACCCCAACTGGAGGGCGTGAGTTGGAGTGGGTACCCCAGCTGGAGGGTCAGGGTCAACCAGCAATGAGAAAGCTGGGCGGATGCTGTCAGGGAACTCAGACAAGGGCCACAGGAGATGGGGGGACTGCCGTAGACTTGGGCAGCGGTGGCTGAACAGCCAAGGCAATCTGTCATGGTGGCACACATTAGCCTGGAATCCCGGAATTCAGGAGGCAGAGGCAGTGGGTGTCTGGGTTTGAGGCCAGCAAGGGCCACATAGTGAGACTCTGTCAAAAAGAACAACAACAAAGACGAGCTAAGTTAGACTTCCTCCAGAGGTGGGCATGAACACAGGCAGTGAGGGTCTGAACACGAGAGGTAACTTTGGGAGCAGGAGATGCAGGACTTGGGCTGTAGGTAGGTGGCCTTGGTCAGAGTGGCCGGAACACTGATGGTAGGGAAAGACCTCAGCCGTGGGGAGGGAGCCCTAGTGAAGAACCCAGACAACAGCATCCCCCTGGGGAGGGGCTGGCAGAGCAGGAAGAGGGCCGGAGGTGGGTGAGGCAGAGGGGAGAAAGCCAAGTCAGGTGGCTGTGATACCTGAGCCACGGGGGGCTGGGACCACAGGGTAGTGGTGGAGGAGGGGGTGCTGGGCCGTGGCCTCCAGTGTGGTGCATTGAGAGTGAGAATATTAAAGGGGACACAGGTGTCACATGAGACCCCATTAGGTGCTGTGGCCTGGGCAGTAGGCAGTGTGGCAGCTACCTGACCCCTGTGCTGTCCCTCTCTGTCCCCAGGATGAATATGATGACATCGTGGTCCACAGTGGCAGGAGCCAAAACCAGCTACCTCCCTCCCCGGCATCCAAACCTCTTCCTGATGACCCCAACCCCGCCTGACTTAAGTTCTAATATTAATATAATTCCCAGTTTAATAAAAACTTCCGACCTGACAGCCAGAGCCCAGATCGACAGTGCTTCCCTGCTTACTGCAGGCCCATCCCTCCAAAGCCAAGACTGCGCCAGGGGTTTGCTTTGTGCTTTATTCACTCAGAGGGATGGGGGGGGGGGCTGAGTCAGTCTGAACCCTGCCCCCTCAGACTTCTCTCAGGCACACCAGTCCCTGCCAGCTGGAAGTGGAGCAGGATGCCGCGTGGTTGGGGGCTCTGAGGTCAACTGTCTGAGCCTTAGGGGGTATGGGGAAGGAGGAGAGTGGCGAGGGGTCAGCCTTCCCTCCCAAGTGCCTCTCCCAGCATGGCGGTGGCCTCCTTCAGCTGCTCCTTCATGCGCTCCAGCCGTTCCACATCATCTTCCTGGGGGAGACCAGAAATCCAGTTACCACTCTGTGACCGCTCTGAGTCCGACCTGCCACTTCAAACCCCGAAGTCCCTTCCTAGCTGTCTGTCATGGTCAGTGATGGCCATCTTTGTTCCCACCTGGCCAGCATGGAGGCCCACATCTCCTGCCACATTGACCTCTTGGTCCTTCTGCTTCCACGTTCTGAGTGCTGGGATTACAGATGTGTCATCACAGCTGGTTTATGTAGTGCTTGGAATTGAACCCAGGGCCTGTGCATGCTCGGTATATTCCACCATGGACCCATATCTGCCCTGGGTGACCCATCTGAGGTGATGGCCATTTTGATTGCTGCTCCCAATTAAGGTTCTAATTTTAATTCATTTAAAAGAAAACTTTTTTGAACTGTTAAACCATCTCTCCAGCCCATAATTGAAAAGAAAAAAAACCAAGTTTATACATTTATTTATTGTGGATGTGGATGTGCACATGTGTACCACAGCGTGTGTGGAGAGGTCAGAGGACAACCTGTGGGAGTCAGTCCTCTCCATCTTCCATGGGGGATCTAGGGATTGAACTCAGGTCCCCAGGCTTGGCAGCAAGTGCCTTTACCCACTGAGCCATCTTGCTGGCCTGTGGGACATAGTCAACTTTGCATGACTTAGCCAACAGTGTCCGTCACTAGCCTAGTGAACCAGGAGAGTAGCTGCTAGCTTCAGTGGGAGCCGACTTACTGGTACAGACTGGCAATGGTTGCTTACCCTGATGCTCTGGGTAATTAGTGGTGTCTTCCTGGTCACTGTCCTTGCTTGGGTGATGCTACCTAGTCCTGGTGCATACTTGGTCACTCTGACCCATCTCATGGTGGATTTCATTGTGGCCCAGCACTGGGAGGTGTTGGAAGAGACCCCTTGGGTGGCCTTGGAGTGCCTCCCCCACTCACCTCCTGCTCTGACGCCTCTTCCTCCTCTGCCTCTTCCTCCTGTTTGGCCTTGGTGCCTGGCTGCTCCGGGTGGTGATGATGGCTGGAGGACCCTTCACGCCTTCCTGCCCCGGCCATCTCAGCCCCCTGCCACAGATGGCGGCCTCCGCCCAGCAGCTGCATGCCCTTCTCCTCTGCCTGAAACTGGGCCGCCTCCTCATTGCTGGCCTTCTCAGCCACCCGCTTCTGGGGGCCCCTGGCACTCTCTAATTGCTGCTCCCATATCCGCTCAAAGGTCTTCCCTGGCTGGCTCTTCTCCTCCTCCTCCTTCTCCTCGTCCTGACGGAGCCGGCTGTGGAGCTGTGTGTGGATGGCCTGCTCCCGCACCTCAGACTCCTGGGTCCTCTCCGCCGCTTCCTCCTCTTCCTTGTCCCCTATCTCCTGGCTGGACCTCATCTCTCCAGCCTCCTGCTTGTTGAACTCCCTGCCCAGCAACCTCTTCTGCTCAAGGGACACACAGCCACGGGGCTCTGTCTCGAATATCTCTGGCAGGAAAAGACAGGGCGCTCTTTGTGCATCCAACTGAGAAATGGAGGCCCCCGAAGAGTCCCGGGTCCTCCCGGACATCACGAAGGTAACTGCTTGGCACTGGGAGGGGGCATCACTGGCTGCAGATGTTCGCTGCTCCGGTCCCTAGGCTGCAGGGAACTTCAAGGGAGCAAGGCTCTTCGTGTGTGTGTTGGGGGGGGGGGGGTAAGTAGTACCACACTAACCCAGACCTGGGAACTCTCCCACCATGCACTGCGGGCCGTAGGAGAGCAGGGAAGGATGTCGGGAGTCTGAGGGGGACTACGGCATCCCTACCTTTGTGGAGCAGAGCTGTGCAGGGGCCTCTCTGGGCCTGGCCCAGGGTCAGCACCTCCATGACCACCTCTGCTAGACAGCGGGTTAGCTGGGGGCAAGGAAGAAAGGTCAGAGGGAGGCCAAGGGCAAGTGGGAAAACAGAGTGGCTACCGGATCAAAAGAAAGAGGTGGGGAACCTGGGCAGAAAGAAGTTGGGCAGAGGGGACCCAACGGGATGGGGAGGGCAAAGAAGGTTTCCTCTCTCACCTCCTCCTTGGAGGGTCTGGGCGCCAGGGGAGCCGAGGAGGCTGTGGAGGGAGGAAACAGCCACTGTCCGGGGTACTGATCCCAACTCCCCAGAACCCCAGTCCACCAGCCACACCTGCCACGTGTGCTGTCCCTGTGTCTACAGCCCGACCCCAGGGGTACTGCCCTGCCACCGAGCCCCTCTGTGGACTCTGGACTCACCAGCCCCCAGCAGCAGGGCCAACAGCGGCAGCAGCGCTGTGGAGGTGGGTACCCGGCGCAGCATGGCGGGAGTCGGGACCTGGGACCTCTCCGCTGAGTGGCCAGCCAGTGCCAGAGCCTTATAACCCAGGTGCAGTGGCCCCAGCAGGGGGAGGAAATGACATCACCCCCTCCCCAGCTTAAGGAGAGAGGACAGCTGTGGGACGCTCCAGGACCCTCAATTATTCATGGGATCCCACACTCAAGCATGCACCCCTCCGGGCCTCTGGCCCAGGAGCACGTGGTGGGGGTGTGGGGGAAGGCTCCCCCCAGAGACTCACATGGGAACTGGGCAACTCTCCTTTTCTCGGCTTTCCTCATCTGGAAGGTGGATCCTCCTACATCTATTTCCTTGGAGGTGTGAGCTCCTGGCCAAGTCCCTGCCCCACCATCCACCGGCTGTGCAGTGCTGGGACGATTGCTTAAGCTCTGTTCTATTTAGGAAAGTTGTGGTGACAACCTACTCCAGAGCTTTTGGGTGAGAGTGAAATGTGAGGGGCTTGGGCAGTGCCCTGCACTGGGAACTCACGGGGCTACATGTCACACAGTACCGTGTGTGACGTACGCACATGTGGAGGCTGCTGTCTTCCTGTTGATCTCCTTTTATTTCCGAGATGGTCTCTTACTGAACCTGGAGCTAGGATAGACCAGCGGGCCAGCAAGCTCCTGGGATCCAACTGCCTGTCCACCTGGTGCTTGGGTTACAAGAGCACACGGCTTTCATGTGGGTTCCAAGGATCCGAACTCAGGCTGTCACGCTAGCGTAGCTCTTTTCACATGAAGCCCTAACCAACCACCAAGTAACATTTTCCCTTGCGTTTCTTTTTCTTTTTCAAGACAGGGTCTTGCTATGTAGCTCAGGCTGGCCTCAAATTTGTGGCAATCCTCCTGTCTTAGCCTCTAAAATGCAGGGCTTACAAGTGTGAACCACCACAGATAATGTCCAGTAATCTATTTTTGTTTCTTCGAGACCGGGTCTTGCTAGAGACAGCCTGCACTAGCTGTGAAATCCTATTTTAAATTGCTGTGCGTGCGTGGCAATGGGTAAGTACACACTTGAGTGCCTGCAGCCATGGAGTCCTTTGAAAGAGCAGCCGGTGAGAGCTCTTAACTGCTGAGCCACCTCTTCAGGTTGTTTGTTTTTTGTTTGTTTTTTGAGACAGGGTTTCTCTGTGTAGTTTTGATGCCTTTCCTGGATCTCACTCTGTAGACCAGGCTGACCTCGAACTCACCGAGATCCACCTGCCTCTGCCTCCTGAGTGCTGGGGTTAAAGGCTTGTGCCACCACTGCCCAGCTCTGCTCCTCATTTTAACACAGGGCCTCACTGTGTAACCCTGGCTGGCCTGGAACTTGCTATGTAGACAAGGCTAGCCTCAAATTCAGACAGATCTACCTTTCTCTGCCTCCCAGGTGCGGACATTAAAGGTGTGCACTACCACACCTGCAAGCCTTTAATTCCGGATCTTCCTGCCTCAGCTTCCCCATGCTGGGATCACAGATGTGTGTCAGCACACCAGACTCCAGGAATTCATATTCTGAGATAGGACCTGATACATTCCAGGCTGGCTTAAATTTATGTATGTATACCAGATTTGCCTCTGTTCCTGTGCTAGGATTATAGAATATATATATATATATATATACATATAATTAAAATGCCCAGTCAGTTCTGTGCTAGGGAATTGAACCCAGGGATGTGTGCATGCCAGGCAAGCACTCTACCAACTCAGCCACACCAGATCCCCCCTGTAACTTTCACTGGGCACATACTGTATGTGGATCTACAGCAGTGAATCAATTGGCCAATGTCCAGCCCTGCTGGAACTGACACTTGAGAAGCTGGACAGTCAACATCTGCAGATAATGTCATGTGAATGAGTGAATGACGGCAGTGAATCCGACAGAGGAAAAAGTCATGGCACTCTTGTCCTTTACAATGATAGAGCCACAGGAGGACCCTGGGCAGGGAGGGCCACACCCCAACTCAGATGCTCCCAGGGAGCAGAGACAAGGAGTCTTTTGTGACTGTCCAGGTGGGAGACCAAAGTGGCCAGTTGAAGAATAGGGCTGAGGAAGGAGGAAGGAGTGGGCAGCTGGCAGGTCCGGAACATTCTGAAGGCCAAACCTCAGGTTTGCTAACCCACTGAAGGTGGGAAAACACCGAGGATAGCCCAGTGTCGGTAAAGGGCTTGGAGTGCCTGTGAAGGGTGAGGTGAGCAAAAGGATTCTGGGGATCAGCTTCCATGAGTGTGACACTCTGGACAACACCGGAGTTGGGGACCATCGGCCACAGGATAAGGATAAAGCTGGCTCAGTCTGAGGGAGTCATCAGAGGATGATGGCCTTCTTGTCCCAGAGGAGGAAGAGAGGCCTTGGCATCCTTTCAGTCACCCTGGGGATCCCCAAGCCACCCAGCATAGGAGCAGTCACCTAGCACCTCTCTCGCTCACAGATCCAGAGACTGCTCTTGGGACCGTTTATTGTGGGTCTTCGCTTAGTACCAAGGCGGGAAGGAGGAAGACGGGATGGTGTCCTCCAGCTTTCTCCAGCTAGCCGCCTTCTTATCACAGCGGAGACACGCCTCTGGCTGACAGCCCGGTGACAGGAGGGGCCACTGCCAATGATTCGGGGGCAGGGGAGGAAGAGCGGCAGGCCAGGGGCTCAGGGGGAGGTGACAAGTACCAGCCATCAGGGCTGGCTCCAGGGGAAAGGCTCTGCGTGTCTGGGGGTCTCCGGAGTGCCAATCTCTAGAGCAGACGGTTGTCAGCTGGCAGCGGGCCGGCCAGGGAGCCTGGGCTTCTGGGGCTGGTTGGGGCCGATGTACTGGAGAGGCACGTGGGTAGGGGCTGTGATGCGGTCAGTGCCAAGGTAGGGCTGGAGGACAGCGGGCACGAGGACGGAACCATCCTGGGACAGAGCAGTTATGAGGATGCTAGCCTTCCTCCAGCGCCCCCTCAGCTGCTGGGGGAGTCTCAAATTCTCACCGCTCCCATCCACTGAGTACTGCCAGCTGAACCCAGGATCTGTCCCATGACAGGCAACTCTGAACCACTGAGCCACACCCTCAGCCCCTCACTGGGGGATTCTAGGCAGGGGCTCTACCACTGAACCACACCCCAGCCCCTCACTGGGAGGTTCTAGGCAGGGGCTCTACCACTGA